TAAACGCTAACCCTAACGTAACCCCACCCTCACCCGAACCCCCTTGGACCAGCCATGCTCGAAGCTACCCCCCCCCTCCCCCCTTTTCCTACAAGGGGAGGGGGGGGCTGGGAAGCCCCCCCCTTTCCCCCTTTTCCCAATCCAGCACCCAGAGCCCCCGCCCTCCCTTTCGCCGATGATCCAAAATCAACAATCGACGATCGAGGATGGACGATCGACGATCAAGGATCGACGATCATTCAAATCCAATCGATTGCAATCCAATCCATTGCAACCCAATCGATTACAACGCAATCGATTGAAACGCAATCGATTGCAACCCATTCCACTGCAACCCCCCCCCCCTCCCTCCGCTCCCCTCCCCTCACCCCCCTCCCTCCCGGAGTCCCTCCTCACCCTTCGTTCCCTCCCCTCCCTCCCATCCCTCTCCTCCTATCCCTCCCTTCCGTCCTGTCCCTCCCCTGCAATCAAATCGATTGGAATCGAATCGATTGCAATCCAACCGATTGCAATCCAATCGGTTGCAATCCAATCGATTGCAATCAAATCGCTTGCAATCCAATGGATTGCAATCAATTGCAAAGCAACTGTACTATTCTATTCAGCCCGTGGCAACGACCAGGGGGCGAAAACATACTATTATGCTGTACTCGTGCGATGAGCAAGGTCGGTAAATCGAAAATATACAATTCTACTAGACTCGTCTCTTGGCAACGCCTGGAGGGGCAACAAAAATACGATTATACCCTCACTCCCCTCGCTAATTACCCTCCCCACCCTCCCCCGACTCCGTTTCATCTCCTCCTTCCTCTCCACCTCCCTCCCCCTTCCCCTCCCTCCGCTCCCTCCCGTCCCTCCGGTCCCTTCCCTCTCTCCACCCCCTCGCCTCCCTTGCCTCCCTCATCTCCCCACCTCCATGCGCTCCCTCCACAGTCCTCCCCCCCCCAAAAAAAATCAACCCTTTTACCCTAAGATCCTTACCCTAACACCTAACCCTAAACCCTAACCCCTGACCCTAACCGCCAGCCCGCGCGCCCGCCCGCCCGCCCGCCATCCCGCCCGCGCGCCCGCCAGTCCGCCCGCCCGCGCGCCCGCCCTCTCTCCCGCCCGGCCGCCCACCCGCCCACGCGACCGCCCGGCCAGCCGCCCGCGCGCCCGCCCGCGCGCCCCCTGCCCGCCCGCCAATCCCTAGCCCTAAACCCTAACCCTTAACCCCTTAACCCTAACCCTAACACCCTAACCCTAACTCCCTAACCCTAACCCTGACACCCTAACCCTAACACCCTAACCCTAACACCCTAAACTTAAACCCGAATCCTAATTCCTAGCCCTGACCCCTAATCGTAACTCCCTAGCCCAAACCCTAACCCCTAACCCTAACACTTGCCCTAACCCGTTAACCTGCACCCTCAACCATATACTCTAACCCTAAACCCTAAACCCTAAACCCTAACCCAAAACCGGAACCATAACCCTAGCCGTAACCCTGCCCCAACCCTTACCAAAACCCTAACCCGAAACCCTAGACTAACCAAAGCCCTAACCCTAAACCTAAACCTTAAAACCCTAACCCTAATCCCACCCTAACCCGAGCCCGGACCCTTTCCCTAACACTAAACGTACACCCTAAGGCCTAACCCTAACCCCACCCTGACCCCACCTCCCTCCCCCCTCCTCTGCCTCCTGCCCTCATTCTCGAAAGGAGGAGAATGTGAGTGGCCAAGCCCCCTCCCCTCCCTCCGCTCCCTCCCCTCCATCCCCTCCCTCCTCTCTCTCCCCTCCCTCCCCTCCATCCCCTTACTCCCCTCCCTCCCCTCCATCCCTCCCCTCCCTCCTGCCCCTCCCCTACATTCCAATCGATTGGCATCGAATCGATTGCAATCCAACAGATTGCAATCCAACCGATTGCAATCCAATACAATCAAATCCAATCCATTGCAATGCAATCCCCCTTCCCCCCCACCCTCAGCCCCCTCCCCCCTCAAAGGGAGTAAGAGAGGGGGGGGCTTCCAGCCCGCCCCCCCCTTTGGAAACACAGGGCGGGGGGGGAAGTAACTACCGAACCCCCCCCATCCCTTCAAAGCGGAGCCTGAGCTGACCTCCGGCTCCGAAAAAGGAAGGGAGGGGGGAGGTAGCTTCGAAGCCCCCCCTTTCTGGCCACGAAAATGGGGAAGGGGGGGTAGCTTCCGAAGCCCCCCCTCCTTTCGAAGGGGACCCCAAGCTGACCTCCGGCTCCGCAAAAGGAGGGAGGGAGGGTAGCTTCGAAGCCCTCCCCCCCCTTTCCAGCCACGAAAAGAAGAGGGGAGGGGGCTTCCGAAGCCCCTCCCCTTTAGCAAGGGAGGGGGGAGGGGGTCGCTTCAAGCCCTCCCCCCCTTTAGTCTGTCGGTCGCTGCGGGCGCGGTCGATCACATAAGATATTCCTCTTCCTATATTTTTATAAGCCCGGGCGGGGGGAAAACCAGTCACCCCTTTTCCCAAAACCGGACTCCCGGGATCTGGGGTTTTGGGATTCTCCGGAAGGGCCTCGAGGCGGCCCCCCGGGCCTCGCAGGGCGTTTCGCCAAGCCTTCCCAGCACCCGAAGACTGCCCCAGACGGGTTCCAGGCGTTCCGGCGCGCTCCCGAAACGACCCCAGAGAACTCCAATACGGTCCACGACGACGCCCACGAAGCCGTCATACCCCCAAAGATCGCTCCGAAACGTCCCACGAGGCCTCCAAGAGCACTCCCAAGAAGGACCCAAGAGGCAAACATCTGTGCTTTTCCATTGGTTTTTGGTGAATTTTGGGGTTATCCTCTTTTCGGCTTCCCGACGCTCCAAGACGGCGGACTTCTGGGCGTCCGAAGCCGCCTGGGAGGCTGCAAAATCGCCCCACAACTATCCGAAAGGGCTTCCAGGCAGTCCAAGACAGCCCCAAAACGGCACAACAGGGATCCAAGATGGCCCTAAGAGTGCCCCATGGCGGCCCAAGATGGCCCGAAGACGCGCTCTGAAGCATTCCAAATCGTGACCCAGTCATTCAGGGAGACCGCGGTTGGAGGCAGGGTGGCCCGAGGAAGCCCCCTGAGGACCCCAGAACACGCCCAGGAGGCCTCCAAAAGGCCTTGAGAAAGCATGAGAAATTTTGTGAGGCCCCCAGAGGCTCTCCAAGGAGGAGCCTCCGCAAAAAAGAACTGAGGAGGATGGGGAGAATGCGCAGGGTATGGTGAGAATGAAGAAACAGAAGCATTGAGGAAGGATAACGAATAACATTATGATAACGACGATGCCGGAAAAGGCAACAAGGAGTTATCGTTAAATTGCTGGCTTGACCTTCCTGCCATCCCGCCTGCATGCCGAATTTTATGGGCCAAGGTGCATGGCGCGAAGCGCCAATGCAGTCTAGTATATATATATATATGTATATATATACACATACACATACACGTGTATATAAATATAAGGATATGTGTAAATATACACATATATACGTTACCTACACGCACTTGACCTCTGTCCCTCTCCCTCTCTCAACTCCGCCTCCCTCATTCTTTTTTCACCGTAGTTGTCTGGTTCTCTCTCTCTCTTTCTCTCTCTCTCTCTCACCCTCTCTCTCTATACAGATCGGAGGTTGGGGAATGACATCGCAGTGATACGGAGACCCCCCCACTGGGATATTGGTTTCGGATGCACGTTCGTGTCGCGCACGGGCGAGGCGAAGCTGCGTGGGCGGGCGAGAGGAATGAACTCGCCGTTGCCTGGGCGAAACCGAAACAAACGTTGCTGTCCCCCCTGCCGGCCAGCAAAGGCCCTGAGATCAATAGTCAGATCGGTACGAGGATCGATAGTGAGATCGATAGTGAGATGGATAGTCAAATCGATTGAGTGGGATCGATAATGAAATCGATCGAGAGATCGACCGTGTGTTCGACAGCGGTATCGGTAGAGTGAGATCGATCGTGAGGCCGAAAGGGAAATTTAATTGTGATATCGATAGTGAGATCGATAGTGGCATCGATGATAACATCGATAGAGAGACCGATCGTGAGAGCGATCGTGAGATCGACCGTGCGATCGTTCGTGAGATCGATCGTGAGATCAACGTGAGACCGATAGGGATATGAGATCTGAATAGTATGATCGACAGTGAGATCGATAATGGGATCGATAGTGATATCGAGAGTGAGGTCGCTCGTGAGATCGATAACTAATGAGGTCGATTGAATGAGATGGATGGTGAGATCGATAATGACATCGATAATGAGATCGACCAAAAACCCGGGAACCTGGGACCCCAAAAGTGGAACCCCGGGAACCCCGCCGCCCACCGAAATCAGCCTGGAACCAAAAACTGAGAACCCGGGAACCCGGAACTGGGAACCCGGAACTGGGAACCCGGGAACCCGGCCGCCTACCGAAATCGGCCCGGAACTTTCGCCAAATCCTTCAATATCCGCTAGGACCCTTTCAGTGCAAGCACTGATTAGGGAACATTTTACTTCGCTGCGAAGTCACACCCCGTCCGCGGTGCCCCAGAGGTGAGAGGGGATGCCAGGAGGGAGCAGGGGAAGGAGTCGGGCGAGATGAAGCAGCAGGAGCAGCGGCGACGCCCGCCGGCGCTGGAGCTGCGCCCCAGCGCCCGAAGGCCACCGCGGCCCCTCCGAGCACGGCGGCCCCTCCGACCACCAGTGCACCAATATTGAAAAAGTAGCGCACGGTTGTGGACATCAACAATACGCGTGCCCACCAAGGGAGGGCGGGGCGCACCCCTGGTGATTTGTCCACTTGGTTGAAGCAGCCGCCGATACCATCTGCGGTCTGGTCGACCGGGGGAAAGGGGGGGGTCGATGAGGACCCGCCCAGAATGGCAAACAGAATGGCAAAAGCATTGTTAAAACGCGGCGACTTGAAGTGAGACCTTGTAAGACAAACTATTTCGGCAGACAGACAGCTTGAACTCAAAAAGACTATTCAGGGCAAACATATTGCACATGTCATACTGTCTCCAGGCATCAGCATGGCTTAGGCGTCGCACGAGCGAACGATTTCTAACCCGCGGATCTCCAACAGCACTCCAACGACGTAGTCGACGTCGTCGCCAGAGCCAGGGACATCGCTAACACGGAACTCCCTGCTTGCTGCACCCGTGTGCACACCCATGCAGAATCGTACGCCCCTGTCCTGCTCAGGCGCGAGCTCGCCGATGCGATGGCCGTTGACGAGGAAAGCACCGTCGTCGCATAGGGTCGCCGTGGAATCCACGGGCCGGCTCAGCCGCGTGCTGCGCGGCAGCCCCCGGGCGGGGCGCACCCGCTCGCGCGTCGGCCGCCTGGGCGGGTGGATGGCGTAGTGCTTGAGCCAATGGTACTGCCGCACGGCGAACACGGTGCCGAGGACCTGCCCGCGCAGCGCCTCGACGCGTCAGTTCGTATTGCCCCTCGCGGGGCCCTCCTGGGGCCCTCCATTTTGGGCATGTCCACCTACAGGGGGAGTTCGGACGAACCAAAAAAACAAATAGTCAAAAATAATCCAAAAATCGTCCCCAGGCTATTTTTGACCATTTTTTGAATACTCCTCATGTAGAGGGACAGGCCTGGCTTACATTTTTGGGGCACCATTGGGCCGTCTTGGAGTCCTCGTGGGGGCCTCATGGGCCGTCTTGGGACGATCTTGGGGGCTCCTCGGGCCTCCTCGGGCAGCGAGGCGAGGCGCCCCAGCGCCGCCCCCGCCTCCTGATCCAGGAACGCGGGTGCCTTCAGCATGGCCTCGGAGAGCTCGGCCGCCAGGCGCCGCAGGGCCGCGGCCGCCCCAATGGCGACCCTCGCTGGCAGGTCCGAGCTGTCCAGCGCGCGATGCAGGGGGTCACTCAGGCTAGGTCGGGCATGTCCTCCTACAGGCGGATCTTGGAAGGAAAATGAAAGATACGCAACCAAACGTCTTCAACAATGGTTAAAAAATGATCGAAATATCGTTCCCGACTATCTTTTCACTATCTTTGGCTAATCCTCCTGTGGAGGGACGTGCCCGACTTAACGCTCAGGGGGCTCGCGAGGAGCTGGCCCGCGCCGCCCCAGGGGCCACCCCTCGCGGCCAGGCGCCTCGTCCAGAACGCGATGTCGTCTGCCACCTTTGGACGAGCGCGTTCCACCACTCGCAGAGCAGCTGCTCGCAAATGTCCTCGATCCGCCGCGGGGGATTTACGATACATTACATGGAGGCGAACAAATATTTGTCGAACATTTGCGAGTAGGCACTTTGCGAGTAGTGCGAGGTCGGGCATGCCCCCCTACGGGCGGATGTTGGTCGAACAATTATATATATAAATCAAACATGCTCAAACCTGATCAAAAAAACGTCCCCTGACTATTTCCCTACCTAGGCTCTGCCTAGAAGGGTTCTTACTCTCTTTCTTAAAGGGGCCGGGCAGTGGAAATCGCCCTGGGCGGTTCCCCCAGTATCCGCCCCGCGGTTCCCCCAGTCCCCTGGGAGCTTTAGCTTTAGCTTTAGCTTTGCCTTAGCTTTAGCTTAGTTTTAGCTTAGCTTTAGCTTAGCTGTAGCTTAGCTTTAGCTTAGATTTAGCTCAGATTTAGCTTAGATTTAGCTTAAATGTAGCTTAGAGTTAGCTTACATTTAGCTTTGCTTTAGCTTAGCTGTAGTTTAGCTTAGCTTAGTATTAGCTTAGGTGTAGCTTGGATGTAGCTTAGCTGTAGCTTGGATGTAGCTTAGATTTAGTTTAGCTTTAGCTTAGCTTTAGCTTAGCTGTAGCTTAGCTGTAGTTTAGTTTTAGCTTAGCTTTAGCTTAGCTTTAGGTTAGCTTCAGCTTAGGTTTAGCTTAGCTTCAGCTTAGTTTCAGCTTACTTTCAGCTTAGCTTCAGCTTAGTTTTAGCTTAGCTTTAGCTTAGCTTTACTGTGACTACTAATGCTGCTTTCCTAGGGGCTCCAACTCCTAGGTAGGGTCGCAATGTGATTATTTTTATTATGTTTGAATATTCCTCCTGTAGAGGGACACGCCCGACTTAGGGGTAGTGGAGCGCCTTGGGCGTCAGCGCCGGGACTGCGCCGTCGCCCAGCTCCAGCCAGGCCGCGAGGATGCCGGCCGCGCTCAGGTGAGACCTGTGCACGCCCGCAGACAGGTGCAGGGACGGCTCGCCGCCGGCGCTCCTCTTGGGTCGGGTACCCCCAGGATTCTCGGGGTGGCTTAGGCGGCCTCCAGAGCACCCCTCGCGAGGCCCAGAGAGCCCCAGGGGCTCCAAAATTGACCGAAAAAGCTAAGGGCACCTTGGGCCAGGGGCACTTCTGACAACACCCGATTTGGGCGACCCAAAAGGAGGTCCAGCTGCAAGGGGGTGGTGCAATAGATCTGGTGCAACTGTCTTGCAAATGTATTGCGCCAGAGAATTGTATTGCACTGTTTTGCAACTAATGCACTGCACGCGGGAGTCCGGCAATACATCTCCGCCCCGAAATGCATTGCACGTCCCAAATGTACTGCAACCCCATAAATCTATTGCACCAAATCTATTGCACCACCCCCTTGCCGCTGGACTCTCTTTTGGGTCAATCCGATCCTCGCGTAGTGCGGCACGCCCGCCGGGAGGTAGAGCACGTCCCCAGCAGTGAGAGTGACGGTGTGCCTCTCAGACCAGGTGGCCTCGTCCAGGAGGTGCCACTCCTCGGAGGCGCGCAAACGTGGATTAGCGATCGATGGACTTGGCGCGCGGTCCCATGGATCGGAGGAGCCATGGAAACAGAACCCGTCGATAATCCACGCCCCCTCGGTCTATGTTTGCGATGGCCTGAACTCCTTCTGGCCAGACTGCTGAAGCACGAAGACGTCGTGCTTGTCCACGTGCGGCGCCAGACCCTGGGCACCTGGAGGGGTCAGGTACGCGTTGAAGCCGCCGCCGAGCCCGAAGCCAGCCCACAGGGCGTGGTGCAGCCCCTGCATCTCCGGCGTGGCCGAGTTCACCAAGTTGACAATGAACGTCCACCCGTCTCCCCGCAGGGTCAGGTCTTCTGGAGTCTCCAGCCTCCGCTGCCTGACGAAGTCCGCCACCTCGGCCTGGTCGACCACCTGCTCGCTGCCGGAGGCCAGGGTGCGCAGCATCATCGCAGACTTGAACCTGCTCGGGCTCGGGGTCTGCCCGCTCCCCCCCGTGGGCTGGGGCCCTCCTCTGATGGGCCCATTGTCCACCACCACCATTACCAGAAGTAGGAGAGGGGGGAGGAGGAGGAGGAGGAGGAGGAGGAGGAGGAGGAGGAGGAGGAGGAGGAGGAGGAGGAGGAGGAGGAAGAGGAGGAGGAGGAGGTGGAGGAGGAGCTCCTCATCCTCCCTTCTCCCCCGTCCTACATATGGTAGTGTTAGGTCGGGCATGTCCCCCATACAGGCGGACCTTGGGCGTAAAATAACAAATATTCACACAAGACTCCAAAATAGCCCCAAAATGCTCAAAACAATCATCCCCAGGCTATTGTTGGACTATTTTGGACTAGCCCTCCTGTAGAGGGACGGGCCCGACTTCATGGTGATGGCGGTGAAAGAAAATTCGCCCGTCATCCTCCGCTCGGCAGGCCCAGCTCGGACAGGAGGCCCAGGCAGCAGCCGACGCCGAAGGCCACCCGAGGGCACGCCCAGCGCCGCAGGCGCCACCGCGCGCCGAAGCAGCCGCCCAGGAAGGAGGCGTCGTCCTCCCCCATCACCGGAGGCTCGGGGGAAGGGGCACCAACAGTGCGCCAGGCTCGTGTCGTGCCGACTTCGGCGTTGGTTTCTGACACCGCGGGGATTGTTCCACCTTGAACGATCGGCCGTTTCCGAAACGTCCAAATCGTTGCACATCGAACGATTCTGCGTCGTCCTCCCCCATTACTGGAGGCTTGGGGATGGGCACCAACAGTAGGGGAACGAACAATGACACAAGCATAAAAACTCGGAGGTCCGCGCGGACTTATCGGATCCGCGCTGGACGCCCCTGGCGGCCGCCGCCGCCGACGACGCCAACGACGGCGACGACGCAGTGTGCCTCCACCTTGGGATGGGCATGCAGACGCGCTCTGGGTACTCTGAGTTTCTTAACAAGCGTCGGGGGGGGGGGGGGCGTCACCCCCGCGGACAGCCCCACATCGACCCCCGTCGCGGGCAGAGCCGCGCGCCGAAGGCGCTCCGAACCCCGTCGCGGCGCGACGACGAGGCGAGGTTGACCCCCTTCGGGGGGGTATCCCCCCACGCAGTCGGCGGTGGACAAACCTCCCTTTAGTAAACCACCTTTTAGTGAGAACGCCCCAGGACCGAAACCGACGGACCTGGACCCGCAGGAGTGACGGCCGCGACTCCCTCTCGCGAACCGAAAACGGCCAATTCGCTCATCGACGTGTCAGGGTAGGAGGTCTATCCACCCCATCTGGCGGCGCCTCCGGCGCTGCCCCAAGGCGCGCTCCGCGCGCCAGGGAGGGGGGGTCCAGTGCGGATCCGAGCAATCCGCGCGGACCTCCGAGTTTTTTATGGTAGTGTCACTGCTTGTCCCCTAAACACGGGCGGCTGCCTCCATCAATGGAAGATGATCCTAGATGTAAGTCGGGCGTGTCCCTCTACAGGGTGGATATTCAAAAATAGTCAAAACATAGTCTGGGGAATATTGTTTTACTATGTTTGACCATTTGGGGGTATCATTAGAGTATTTTTAACTTTCCGCCCAAGATCCGCCTGTAGGGGGGGCACGCCCGACCTAATCCTAGATCTTGGTGCTCGTAGTAATCCCTCGGCCACTTTTACGGGGCCCGAATCTTACCACCATCGCCGAGAGCAGGATCTTCTTCCTTGCGGTGGAGGTTGGTATGGGCGCTCGGCCGCGACTCTTCACAGGCAGAAAGCCACCGAAAGTGCACATCTCGTGGAACTGCAAGACTCACCAAAAATGCAAAGGCACGATTCCCCAAACCCACCAACATGTAAATGCCGCTTTGGGGGCGTGGCTGGCGGGAATGTTGGCGTTGGCCTCCCAGGGGCCACAAGGCCTACTTTGGGT